ATCAGTCAGCTGCTCTCTGGTAATACTTTCATTAAAATGCGCTATGCGTAGACTTTTGTCGTTAAAGCATATCCTTTGATGTCCGCCGTTGATTCCACACTTTCACATCGCATTTATAGTCGACCTTGAGTTTCGTCTGATTTCCCATATTTGTACAACCGTCAGGAGACATATTCCCATGTGTTCACTTTTTTTAATTGATATGCCCGTCTCAATTTATGCACTCAACATCGCCATTTGTTGAATCATTTCGAGTAAATGCAACGATCTGCTTGCATTATTAAACCAGTTGTGCTTTATAGAACAGTTTACAGATTGACGGTATGGTATATTTTCTGGTCGGCAATTTCCTTGGCCGGCATCTGCTAGATCGTGAACGTGTTTGGACCTGTTTTAGATAAGAAATTACGGGGAAAGCAGTTCGAGTCGATCGAATGTGACAATCATGAATTGCTGAGTTTTCACAGTCCATTCTCCATCGCACTCCAGTAAATGCAACATCACTCACATTGATTATAACTCAGTGTTTTAGCTACTGGATTCATGGGAACTAAAGAATGAAGAGATAAAAACTTAAAAAAAGTTAACGATCAAGTCAATTTGACTTGTAGACATATTTTAACTGGACCGGACTAAGGAAGGAGGTCAGCAAAGCAACAGGCAAAAAGAACGAGTATAAGCTTTTATTTTTCAGCTATAGCACCCTTTCGGTGCTTAACTGCCATGCCACCAGAAAGAAGCAGGAGGGTTAGGATACTGCCATGTTACCCAAGCTTAGACAGGGGAAGTCGAGAAGCAGGGTTGAACCACGGAACTTCTGTTCAGTAAATTCGCGCTCTAACCACCGAGCCATCTCTATGTGAACATAAGAAGGGATAACCAATCAGACTCAGGAAAATCTGATTACGATGCAATTTAGGCTGAGCGTGAACCAGTCGGAAGTTAAAGATGTCGGGATAACAATTCAAACTAGAGGCAGACCACAGTACACAACTCGTGAATCAGTCAATTAGAGCGCAGGCCGAAGCCACTGGAATGAGCTTATCGAGCAAAACAATCAAATGAATGGAATACAGATTACGCTGCAAGAAGAAACGCAAACACAGTAAATCTGGACGTCCACCAGTCAGCCGGTCACATCAGTACATGTAAGCTACACTTTGAAAACCGTGTGCGCAGTACCGGTAGGCACTGACGATATTTTCACTGCTTCACATCTGAACATCACCCAACGGCAGTGCCCACTTTCTTGGTTTGTTCAGGATGAGTAGGTCTAAGTCACTTGCGTCTTTTCCAACCAGCGCAGTGACTTCATTAAAACCCCAGAGACCTTCAAGTTTGCCTCCTTCGTTCACCTGAGAACAAAACTGTACATGAAATTTCTTCGAGATCTGTTGTTTTAAGATATTGCTACAGCGATGTCTGTGTACTGCAAGTAGAATGAAATGTAGAATGGCACTCAGTATTCGCACAATGGAATTGAATTTCCGAAAGCTATGGCTTGTCTTTGATGGACTAAATCAATCGGGCAATTGAGTTCAGAATACCAGTCCAAACTTTTGAGCCCCATGTAAGCATTTCGGGGTCTCAGCGATTCTGTGAGATTATTCCACCGGACTTCTCCGCCAGAGCTACGACTGCCTCAGTGGACAATGAAATTTGGTGAGCTGCAAAAATATGAAGGTATATTACGATGGTTTTTGGCTTGAGCATATACGCAACGAAATACAACATTTTGGCGCAACAGGTTTTACTCCACTCGTGAAGGGTTTGCAGCTGGGAGCGTTGCGCAGCTAATAAGTACACGTAGAATTTGTTACATTCAAGATGTGCATGGGTGATGCACTGGAATAACGATTCACTGGACACAACGGGTGGCATGTAAACGTTTCGTTCCGAACCTAGGAGGCATTATGTATGCTCGCCCTCTGTCCCCTTTATGGATCTGAACTTCACAACTCATTCGCCGCAATTCTTCCTTACAAGGGAGGGACTTAGTTCAGCGCAGTCGAATAAATATTGTTGTGTTCTCCTTTTTGACAAAGCCGTTTACACTTCCCATTCTACTTGTGTCGGTTTTACTCTCATTGCGGGCAAATTCTTTTGTGGTCAAGTATTGACTGGCTCTACTCGTGATTCACTGGATGATCAGATCCCAATGTCTGTCACGCAGTTCAGTTTTCACAATGAATCACTAATTAACAGCTTATTCACGCCCTGTTAGGGTTTGTGTGTGGGACATAGGAGGTTTGTTTTGTTTCGCGAAATACTTTCATTTGCGCTTCAATTTCTCTTTTAAAAGTAGGAAGCTGATTTCTGGCTAAATTTTTCTTCTATGATTTTTACCGTTGAATCTTGCAGCCGGATTCGACAAAGCGGTGGTTCGCAAACGTCTGGATATAATCGCTTATCAGACATAAGTAGTGAATGTATTCTGAGCATACAAACCTCTTTTCCCATGAATGACTGTGCGTATGGAAGAAAAATACAGTTTTGGTTCTTCCACGTTTGTTTATTTCAAGAGGGACTGGTCCGCCAAAGGTTGTTTTTTTAATTTCACGGTGCAACTACTCATCATTTCTCGTAAACCTAAATTCATACCCAGATTTCATTAGTTTGCCTTCACAAAACTGATCAATGTTTCATCACAAATGTTCGAATAAGTTCTACGAGTTCTTGGATGAAATGTGTAACCGGCAGTGATGGTAGATTTTTTTCTTCACAGCAAGTAATTAGAAAACGCCAGTCTGCATGTGTTTAGTTTTGGGGCATTGATGATCTAGTTGATTATCCTACAACAAGTTGTGTCTAACTTGACCACATTCATAATTCGTGATTTCTCAGACTCCTGTGGCCCTGTTGGCTCTCAGGGCCTTATTGATTGTGTTCGCTGCAGTATAACCACAATTTATTTGAAAGCTTTGTTTTGAAGAAAACAATATAAGTGGATCGGAAAGGGACTTAGTGCTAGCTTAATGCAATCATTCCAAGGTAGGTAGGAACGGACAACAGTAACGCCATGTCATTGATTAGTAATCATATTTTGAACAGTCTCTAACCTGCAGCAGTGGGGATCGCGCGGTCCACATCCTGTAAGGCGGGCCGAACCGATAGCACCAAAACGTTTCGTAATCATACGTTTCGTTTCATACCACTCAGCCAGGTAGAAGGTTCACCGAATCTCTGCTTGCACCATTATAAAGTGAACCCAAAACACATCGAAAATGTGGCGTGAAGTAGGATGCATCCCGCAGCGTGAATTCTTTACTAATCTGTCTTTCTTATTTTGCTAATGAAATAAGGCGATGTCCATCGAGTGCACCAAGCACACGATATACATGCCACGCATCCGTCGTAAATGGCGGTGGCCTGGTGGATAGGTACAATTCAGCAAACGACCTATCACAAAGAAAACCCCACAATCACTAGAACTTGAGAAGGCAGTACATAGGCACTCAAGATTCTAGTTATATCACACAGTAAATTATTTGAATGCCTTAAGTGAATTAGCGAAATAAAGGGCACCATTAGGATGTGCGGTCGAATTTCCTGTAAAACTTTTTATCAAACCGACGAATACGTCTGCTGATCCGCCAATCTGTGGTATCTGCTGCTAACCCGCTCCAATGCCTAGTGCCGGGAAAATGACTCAGTAGGGAACACAAGCGAGTGAGTGCGTACGAATACGAGAGCAAAAGTTACAACGGCTCCACGTTATTTAAAGGAGGCTTTCTGATATTGATCCAGGCTGTCTGATAGGCGTTAGTGAGCACCCATCAACATCGATCGTGCCTCTATAAAATGTCTGAACGCTGATCACATTCGGTCGTGCTTCTGTGGAGTGCAAGAACACTCATCGGCTTTTGCTGAATTGATGGAATGACTGACTGACCTGGATACTTGTCGGATTTCCAGTTGATATTTGGATGGAGCAGTAGGTTCCGGGCGTTCTGAGGTTAATTTCAGGAATCTGACCTTCCTGATACTGCATATACTCGGTAGTTAGCTTGCATGCACTTTTGGGCACTGGCTTCTTAATATTTTCAAACTCGAAAGGTTTTCCTTTGGGAACGAAAATGAACAGCTCTCAATTTGTCGGGTCAATGTTGTTGAACCGTCCAACCTAATTTGCACCTGCAAGAAAAGTCGTCAAAACTGTTTGGTTGTTGGTCTGTTCGCCGAGCTTGGCAGT